ACAGCATTTCAGCTTTTGCAACTTAAAAGCAGTTCCATTTATTACATCTCAGGCGATAAATTCAGGTTTTATATCGCCTGTCATCTCATACGGTTTCCCCTTAGTCCCAGCCCCACATCTCTGGAGGTTCCCATCCCTCCTGCATCCCGTCCCCACGCGCAGGCTGCAGGGAAGGGCTCCGGCTCCGTCGCCAGGCAACAGCTCAGCCTACTTAGCCCTTCCCGAAATAATCCTCCCAAACGAGCTTTTTTTAGACTGGTTTCCAGCAGGAATACTGTACTGGTTCTCTATAACGGACCGCTGATGTTATGGCCACAACACGAAGCAGTGGTCCCCTGGGAAGCCCTGGCAGCTCTCTAGGATGCCACAACCCCCATGGCATTCCTTACCAAACCCAGGACCCCTCTGCGCTGGCACAGCGAGGGAAATACCTCACACCTTGCTGTGTGCCTGCCCTGTCTTCTCCAGGTGTGTGAAAGCCATATATTTATAAGGAATAAAAATAAATCTTAGTTGTCGTTTGCCTTTACTCTATTTATTCATGGAAGAAAAAAAAAAATAATTCTCTATTAATGTAAAATCAGCCACCAGTCAGAAAAAACCCAACCCCTCTTTCTATGAAGTCTATGATAAGTTTAATCAACCCAACAGAAGGAACACATATGCAAATATTCCATGTTGCGATTCATAATAAAATAAGTTGATTTCAGAACTCTTCTAAGACAAAGTTCCAAGATTTTAAAATCCCATTACAGATGCCATGAACTGGGGCTGCATTTGCTTTTCGAGGTACCTTCGCCAGCCCTGCAGGACCTGTCCTGTGACACACTCACCATCTCCAGCCTCACACCAGCCCTGCAGGACCTGTCCTGTGACACACTCACCATCTCCAGCCTCACACCAGCCCTGCAGGACCTGTCCTGTGACACACTCACCATCTCCAGCCTCACACCGGGTTCTTCTTGTTGCAGCCCTGCAGTGCTGCTGCTGCCAGGCTGGGCACAAGTCTCCCATTTCCTTACCACTGGCTTATTTGGGAATCTTAAGTTAATTCATTTATTTAGCAACAGGTAGAGCAACATAAACACTGTTCTCTTCTTACAGCATCAATCTACTCCAGAGGCCAAATGCCTGACCCTGCACCAGGCTGAGGGACCAAAGGAAGGAGGTCTAATCGTACAAAAGAGATTTTAATTAACGGAAAGGTTTTACCTCATTCTTTTCCTTGCCCCCTGGACATGCTCAGCAGCAGCTATGTCTATGGAGAGCAACAGCGTGTCAACCCAGAACTCAGGGAGAGAGAGGAAGAATGTCTCCCAGACCCAGGGGAAGTAAGGACCAGGTTTAAATGAAGGTCCTTGTGGAGACCTGCAGTCTTCTAATGGGAGAGGGCAGCGATTTCACACTGTTTACAAGATCTGAAGTCTTAAAGATAATCTTTTCTTAAAAAGAGCAGGCTGTGGCAGACACAGGAAGGGGTTCCCAAACCCAACCATGTGAGGTGGTACAAAGGGTTCACTTTCCACCTCCAGCCACACAGCCACATACACGCAGAGCAGCCAAGCTGGCCCAGAAGCAGCCTTATCGAGGTTCAGTCAGTGGATTCTCCCAGAGCAATGCACTTCAAGTTCCTCTTGCACGTTGCATTTATGGGTATTTAAAATACAGGTCAAATAATTTCTAACATAAAAGAAAGAAAAGAAACCCTTCATGTATGCTGTCAGTTCAAAGACGGGAACCTTACCCACCTCTTTTGTATGTCCACATTTAAAAAAGAATCTAATTAAGCAAAGAGGAAAAAAGTAAAACAAACATCAACCTTTCCTCCCAAATATTCCTTTGTGACCTAGGATCATTCTGAACACTTGGGCTTGAATGATCTGCACTTTGGAGAGCTGTCCTTGGCAATGCTGACAAGTGTCCATGTGCTGGTACCAGATGGAAACTACAAAATGGCTTGCACATACCAATATTTAATTAGCAGTTGTGCTGCATTACACAATGTGTTCAAGCCAGCTTTAAGATGCACTTCTAGCTGCAGACCCAGGGACCCTGAGGAATACAATAACCAGCAGCAACCCAGGCCCTGCACACCTCAGCTACTTAACATGCACGACATACAGCTTTGAATCCCCAATTTCAAGCCAAACTAAAGCTCAAATACTTAATTCTTACCCCTCCAATGTCTGAATTATTCCTCTAAAAGAAAGAGCTAAACAAAGGAAGATACCAGGGTATTTTCCCGTTCCTATCTTCCCTAAGATCACTCACGAGAGGGGAGGTGGAGCATGTAAAGACAGCAGCATTTCCTCTGGCAGAGCTCACTGATTTCAGCCAACCATGACCAATTGCTCCATCACTTCAGGAGATGCCTATTCCAAAGGCATACAGTGGGCATTTTATACCCACACCAGGAAAAGTCACCCAAGTAGACTCCCCCACCTCCTGCAGCCCAGGCTCTTCCCTCCGGTCACAGCTCCCACAGCAGCTCTGAGCCCTGCCAAAAGGGTAGAGAGCCCGAGGCTCAGCCCAACGTACAGTCCTTCCTACACACCTAAAACCAAAGTGCAATCAAGTACAAGCCGTGCTCTCTGGATACGAGCATAACCACGCAGGTATGAACAGACAGAGAGGAGCTGTGCCCAGTTCCCCAGGGCATTCCTGGTGTGAGCACCCTACAAGGCCATGATTCATTGTAGACATGGTGTTTACAGACACCAGCAGCAGTGGGTTTTTCCCCAAGACTAAAGCCCTTGTTTTACATAATTGAGACGAGGAATCTTTTCTCTCTTATTTTAAATAACTTAAGAGATTAGCTTTGACATTTTTGGGTTTCTGTACCAAGAAGGGTAGAGGAAGAGTATATACTGGATTTTCAAGCCTTTAGGTTACTTCCAAGAAAGCATTCACCATAGAAACACCGTTCCGAGTTTTCTCCAGATCCCACCGCATCGTTCAGCTCAATCAATGCCTCTCAGAAGACCAAGAGCCATCAAAGCTGCAAGCACGCTGCAAGAGGTGACACGTTTGCTTGTAGGTTAACTTGAAGCATTAATTAGGTTGTCTAAAAAGTAACTGCTCCACAAGAACCCCAGGTAAAAAGAGGACACTGTCCCATGTGCAAGGGACATGTCAGATTGGGGCGAGTGAGCACAGTCTGTAGAGGCTCTACTTTCAGTTTCAGATGACCAACACCAGATACTACAAAGGACCTGATGCTTCAGATATTAGTAAGAACCAAACTTCTTAAAAACCATCTTGGAATAAGGAGTGAAATAAACTAGTGAACCCATCCTCTCACTGCTGAGAATGTGACTTCATGGGCTGTTGAAACGAAGGACACCCCTACAAAATCTGAAGATACGGTGCAAACTTCACCGAAGTTGATGAAAAAACCACTTTGATTTCAGGCGAGTCAGAAATTCACCCATACTGGAAAAAAACATTCAGGGAAGAAAGGGGGGGGTGTTGGGAAGAAAAGACATTCTTCTTTCTACTACTTGGCAATTAATGCCTGCCTTTTGTAACAGGACTGTTTGCACTGGGCTAAAGGCTTCACTGAACACGTGCTTCACAGGCAACACTGCAGGATGCTTTAACTTTTAGTGTCATGGCTTCAAAATCTGCCATCCCAACCACCAAAAATGATCCTTTCCACCCTTCCCTTGAACAAAGTTCTCCATTGCTACTTCGTACCTACAGTCTCTGCGTGGTTCAACAGGAACAGACAAATGGTGCTGAGGTTTGGGTGACAGACACCAGCCCGTGTTTGTTCCCATCCCAGACTCCAGTGGAACCAGGGCTGAAAACATGGGGAGATGAGACGTGCCTTCATTTCAGAGAAGCTTTTCAGCACAGTCCAAGTGAAATGCCATTCGGATGAGAGAGACATTAAGTATACCCTGCTCAGCCTCAGGGTCTTCCTCTTTTAAATCTTTCTTCCCAAAATGCTCCTTCTCCAAGCAATTTGCTCCTAAACGCTTTGTCAGGAATGTCTTTAAGTGTGACTTCCAGAATCAAGCAATATTTTCCCCCTTTTTTATTTTGCTACTCTTCTTGCTTAACTCCCTACAGGGATTATTCAAGTACTGAATATTATTCAAATATTGAAATCAATGAAAATGTTACAGATTTAATTCACTTGTTAATTATTAAACTTTTACATGCAAAACAATGAAAGGCAAAAAAATACTGAAGTGCCTGGAAGGCTGATTGCACTGGAAAACTCCTTCCCTGGATCACGTGGGATTCTTGGGTCCATTAAAGCTATTTTTAAGAAAATTATTCTCCTGTATGGCATACCTTGCTATACCATTTAAGAGGCTACCAAAACTACTGGGTTCAACAGAAAGTTAAACTTAATCAATTTTTCCCCATGAAATAATAAATACAGAAGGATTTTTTGTTTTCTTTTCTTAAAAAAACCCCATACAACTGGATTGCAGAAAGCGTGCAAAGGTGTGCAGATTCTCTGAGTCTGACAACTAGAAGAGAGTATTATTTGAAGACAGGACTAAAATGAAGAGCTATGCCATCCTCACGACAGAAACAGACAGGACCATATTCACTTTAGGGATACAAGTGGAAAGAAGGGGGTTGTTTAGTTTTAAAAACAAACCAAGGAACCCAGCCCTGTCCCACTCTGCACACACAGCACCAGGCAAACGCCTCTCACCCAGCCAAGCTCATCTGAAGCATTTCCAGTGGACTTTCCAGTGAAGCGGTAACTTAAGAAAAAAGAAACAAAACCAAAAAGACCACCACGAACCCGCTCCAAAACCAGCCAAGCTCACCACCACGAAGCAGCACCTCTAACTTGCTTAAGCAGAGATGGTGATTAGGTTGCCAACAAGGGCAAACTGGCTCAGCCTGATTATTAAGTGTGTAATCAAATACTGCAGTGAGCTCCACACCACATGAAGGTTTCATGAAGCTGCACAGCATTGTGTCTTCCAGATGCCTCAACAGCAGGAATCACGTATTTCAGAGTTAAACCTTACCACTCAGACAATTTTTGCTCGTTCAGCTTCCCATGAGGCTCCTTCTCCTGCACTCCTGTCAGTCCTGGGTGCTCTGACCCAACAGCGGGGCAGAGGAGCTCGAGACAGAACCCTGCCTGACACCAGAGACAGAGAAGTCCTTAGCACAGGATTCAGTAGGTACATCTACAAGAATAAGGAGCTTTAAGTCAGCTCATGTGCTTCATTAAAAAAATTACTCTTAATATACTATTATAAGACTGAGTATCTTTTTCCTTAAAACACCCAGAGACAAACCATGCCTGTTGCCAGGCTATTTCTATTTGCTGGGAAGAAGCCTCGAAAATACTCTGTTGATCACAGTTAACATCAAGTAGATCAGCACAGAATTTTGTAGCTATAATCCTATGCTAGTTTTGTTATAAGAAAGCAAGAATTATAAATAGGTGAAGGCAAAGTATAAACTATAATAGTGCAGGACAACTGGACAAAATAACCTGTGATCTATATAAAGTGATCAGTTTTTACACCAGGAACAATACTGGCAAATACATCTGCTTTTCTGATTCTTCGGGGAAAAAAAAAAAAAGCTTTTCCTTTACCCAGAACGAGCATTTGCCACTAGCTGTGCCTAACAGGGCTCTGCAGAAAGACTTTGGCAAGTGTTGGAAGTGAACCCACTTTGGGAGAGGAAGCTGCAAGGTCTCCTACAACAACTGGCAACTCTCACAATAAAAAAAATCCCCAACAAGTATCATGAACTTCTCCCCTCTTTGCCTGATTTCTGTTGTTTCTTGTCCCGCACCAGTGCCATTTGTATGAAATGCAGTTATTCATTTAAATTCATTTACCTCCCGGGGTTGCTTTAACTTTCACAGATTTCAGCATGTGATGGAGCTTTTCTTGAGTATCTTCTGTGTGGGTGGATCTGATGGAAAGATAAGTTTAGTTTGCAGTGTCACATATCTGTGTTTTTCTGCGCAGAGCGAGGTACATTAAACAATGACAAGCTCATTAACACCTAAACGTGGAATTGCTTATTTAGTTTGTATCTCATTGTGTCAGTGAGACTTTCACTCGGTGCATGAGCAGAAGGAAAACAGAAGCAACCTCTTCACAAGGACCACTGTGGCCATGTCTGGCAGACCAGGAACCCCAGCTTGCCAGAGCTCTGCTCCTCAGGCAGAAGTTTGAGGACCACACCATCCGGGCACTGGAGTGTTGTTCTGCTGCATTTGGACACCTCCTGTGGGGCAGGTCCAGCTGAAGCCCTGCCTCTAGTAATAATTCCTGTGAAAAAACTTCTGAGTGACAGAAAAGCCTGTCTTGTGCATAATACCTACAGCCAGAAGGACTTCCAGGACCTCTCAAGTATTTTACTCCAGAGTCACTTAGAAACAACAACAATTATCTAAGGAGCATGATCCAGAAGTGGAGGCTGCTTCTTTTTCAGTGCACAAATGATAAGACTAGAGTCAGGCACCCTCTCATCTGCAAAAGCGCCGGACCAGAAGGGAAGCAGTTGTGCTTGTACACAATAAACCAGTTTTGGCCAGTTTATACTGGGGGTTCTGTCCTCTGCTTGCACATGGGTTCAAGTTCCTTGAAGGTGAGAATAGTCTGTTCTGAGGCTATGAGAACATGAGGTTATTATACGGAAGATGAGCACCGAGACTATCCTATTCCCTATCCCCACACAGAAAATGCTAAGTTAGACTCAGCCCCTGGGTCAGGACTGACAGGTCTGGTGAGGCACACCCAGGAGATCAAGACATCTCTCTGAATAATAGAAAAGCTCTGGCTGGAAGGGATGTCTGGAGGCCATCAAGTGGAACAACTGCTTGCTCAAAGCCAGGCTAACTCCAAACTTTGGTCTGGTTGCTCAGGCACTCCTGATGAATTCCGAGTATCTCCAAGGATGGAGGTTCCCCGGGCACTTTGGAGAACCTGTCGTTCTCGCAGGGAAATATTTTCCTTTCACGTGTTTGGAACTTCTGTCATTGCAAGTTGTGACCATTGCCCCCTACCCTTTGTCGTATGCCTCCAAGAAAAGTCTACATCATCTCCATAACCCCCTCCTTGGGTTACATCTCCTCGTAGTGTCTTCTCCAGACTGAACAACCCCCATTCCTCAGCCCTGCTCGTACACCGTGTGCTCTGGCCTCAGGGGTTTCCACAGCACCCACTAAACTCTGAACTGGGACATCAATACCCCTTTTGCACCCACGGGTCCATGGACTGTGATGGGTTTAGGGTGAGAGTCCCAGTTAGCAGCTCATCAGCAGTGGCAGGTGAGATGGATGGTACACACACAGGAGGAGTCTGGCCAGCAGCTCTACACGTGAAATAGGAAGAATTCCAGTCTTGAATTCAGTCTCCTAAAAGGTAAACGTAGTTCCCAGACATTTTATTGGCTCAAGAGCCCAGCCTTGTTAAAAGCACTGCAGAAGCAGAGTTCTGTTTGACAGAAACATTGTTTAGTACACAATTAGTGACACTAAAAAGCTGTCACTATCGCCATACCATAGGTGAAATACAGCCCTCAACTTGCACAACTCCGTCTCGGCCTATTCTAGACTTGCTTTTTCTTGATATATAGTAGCATTAACTAGATATTTTCCTTTTAATTGCACCTCTGCACAGAATTTATAAAATCAGATTTCCTCTCTCTGCTTGCTGGAGGGCAACAGCCCAGGTTCAGACCCAAGCTGACCCTCCTTTGTATCCCAACACAATTCAAAACAGCCACGTCACAGGCCAGAGCCATCCATTTACAGCACCAATCCCCAAGGATGCCAGCTCCAGCTCTGCCCAAGGCAATCCCTGCTCCCAGACTAGGGAGATACCTGCCTGTGGGCCCCGGGCAGGCTGCCTGCACCAACCGGGCACAGCACGGCACCGTGTTCTCAATTACCAGCTGTGTAATTAGGCACAGCAAGGGCAACCTTCTCTTCTGGAGAAAGACCTGTTAATTACTTTGCTGTATGCCTCCTGCTGCCATTCCTTGTCCTGAAGGACAACCAGCCCTGTGCCTCTTCCTCTTCCACCTGCTCAGACGCCAGAGTCTATTTCCCCTCTGGAAAAAGGGACCACCATCTACTCATCCCCTCCCCAAATCCCAATATTCAATTAGGAACATGCCCCTGGATATTTTTTAAGCCCAGAACAGCGCTACAGATTGAGTAACCATTAAGATTTGATTAATTAAGGTTGCAGAAAGTAGAAGTATAATCTGATACAAAATTAATGCAAAGCGTTCTCAGGATACCAGCTTTAATTACCTCGACTGGAGCATTTTCACTGGTTGAGTTCTCAGACTCTACCCATACAGTCAAAAATATTTAATTTCTCAAGAGATGAGGATTTGCATATTTAACTTCTAAAAGTGCAAGAAGACACATTCTTTGGCCTTGAATGTGCTGAGAGCTGCAGAAGCAGCGCTGCACTCTCTATGCACTCTAAGGAGCACTCTGGGCAGAGGGTACCGGGGCTGGACAGCATGGCACAGGGGGCACACTCAGCTCCCACCAACTGCCACACCAGAGAAAGCCTGGGAATACACAGGGCAAGCAGGCAGTGGCATGAGATCTTATTTTGAAATCAGTTTTTGAAGTAGTAAAATAAAAAAGTAGTAAGAATTCCCATCCGTTAGCAGCATTTGGAAAAAACTACCTCAGGATGCCTTTTTGCAGTGAGGTTTCCTCATTGGTGTACTTCAATTAGGAGCTGTTAGAGCCTTTAAGGGAGCTTGTTTTTAAAATATGATTTTGTAGGAGCAGCTAGGGAAAAAAGCCATAGATGTATGTAGTCTGAAGCCATACATAGGAGCAGCTAGGGAAAAAAGCCATAGATGTATATAGTCTGGAGCCATCACTCAGACATACGGCCCAGGGTACAGAGCTGAGCTTCATACCTGTCCTCAGACAGCAGCCCCACAGCATCAGGAGGAACGGGAACAGGGTGAGCTGGAAAAGGCAAAGGACTTTGCAAAGGCAACTCACAGGCACTTCCAGACACAGCACGGGAAACCACCTAGTCTGTAAGTTAGGGGTGGAGAGGGTTGTTTTGGAGTGGTTTGATAAAAAGCTGCTTCTCAGAGTCTCCTCAAAAGATCTTCTTCATTATAATTGGTGACTTTTTTTAATTTCTTCTTGTTGTGTTTCTCATGCCATTTTCAATAATTAATTTGAAAGACCCAGTCAGCATCCTCTGACTGCAACTTACAGCAGAGGTTCTCCTCAGGCTACTAGATAACACACACACGGCACAGCCGGGAGCCTTCTGTCTGCACGGCGGGCACGTCTTCATTACAGCTACCGCGAGAGAAGTGGGAGGATAACGGGGCACCCAGCTCCCCCTTGGGTTTTAGGCAACACACTGGCTGGCTGGGAGAACCCTGCCCTGCTGTAGATGGACGGAGAAGCTGTAAAAGAAAAGCTGTCTGTACCAAAAGTTCAAAATGCAAAAGGACAAATAAAAAAACCAGTTCATATTGTCCAGTACAAAGTAGAAAGAACCACGATACACAACAGTTCAAAATGCAAAAGGACAAATAAAAAAAACAGTTCATATTGTCCAGTGCAAACAAAGTAGAAAGAACCAAGATACACAGTGAAATTACAAGGAATTAATGAGGTGTTAAACATTTAAATGAGGCAAAGTGATGAGTCACATGGAAAGCAACAGAAAGGCCCTGATTCAGTGTGTCAACAGTTTCATAGCTTTCCAGCAAGAAAGTGATCGTTCTGGTGGATTTCATACACAAATTTGCAATAAACATGAAGACAGATGCACTGTACATAAACAGCCAAAAAAGCATCAGTCATACAGGTCTTTATTTTTATTTTGAGAGAGCAACTGAATGTTTGTGTGTCCAAGTCAGCAATAGGGAAACAGATTTTTCCGCTAGTAAAACATGGCAGCTGCACAAAACCATGCAGCTCTCCAGATACCCACAGCTCCATTAGAGCACTTCTCAGTCCTCTTTCTACCTTCTGCCTTAGGAAAAACTTCCCTCTTACTTTTCTTTCTTGGCATGGGTGGAGGTCGGGGAGAAGAGAGCAAGGTACGGGAACACCCACAAACATTGCAGAGAGTGAGTTAGAAAGGGAAACCCAGATATCCATCACCATGCAGACACTGGTGGGCATCCTCTGAGCACACTGTAGCTACTCCACCTTTGCAG